AGCCTAAAGTGAATCTATGAACGGACTAAACAGCGTCAGTAACAAGACTTCCGTTTTCGACGGAAGTCTAACAAATACCGTACAGAATAACAACAGTGGGACGGCGTATTGAACAATAAAGTTAATGAGTACATGACCTGAAATCATTATAATAAATAACATAAACTCATTAGCTAAGGTGGCACTGGCACATCTTACAGCCGACATCTATCCGGTTGCTTGGTGCGTGACGTATGACGCAATGGAGCTGTGACTAACGTAGTAATGTGATAAGAAATGCAATTACAATTATTACATTTACGCCTATATGATGATATTAGAGTTACCTATATGTTAATATGTAGCTTTGTAACCAGGCCGGGTCAATTCCAAAGAACTGTTCTTGTGTTATTATCTGTATGAAAATATTAGGAAAGAATTGGATTGGAATATCTATGGGGGATTATCTAACGCCATGTAGTGGTGACGTAAACGAAAGCACTACACGATACTCTCCGTTTATACTGTTAGGTATACAGGTAACCTGACAATACTAATAGAGGGTAAATAGGCAAGCATAATCTGCGACCTCACCTTGGTATTATTTTAGACAGTCAGCTAAATTGGTGTAGTCATATAGATCACAAAACTAAAGAGGCAAGGTTGTTTTCAGTCAATGAAAGGGGATTAGCAAACGTAAAATCATCCAAGAACAGTAATAGGGCCTAAGATCTCATATGATGCACTGGTTTGGTGGAAGACAGCTAGCCTTGTCACAACAAAAAACAAACTGAATACGCCAGTGATTTGCCTGCATGCCCTCTACAGGGGTCATGAGCGCAACAATCTACAGGACTATGTTGGACCAGACACAGTTGCATCCTTTCATTCAGCAAAAAGCAATACTGTCAATTTTAAGACTAAAATGTCTTTACTTGTGGGTAAAGAACAGGTTCCTCATGCTAGCATTTTGTACAATTCTTTCAAGCTGAATGTATGGGTATCATCCAAGTAACATCATCAATCACAGCTAGAGAGTTATTTTACGTGGTAGAGCCATGCTGCAGTTATATTAGTAGTATAGTTATAGCACAAATGGGTTGGCTCAACCGGGGAAGGAACACATTCTCACAGAATACCAGCGTCAAATAGTAGCCTAATGCTGCTGTGTTTCGTATGGTGAGTGTAGAGAACTGGAGACCCTTTTTACTGGAAATGAGGCATTCCATCTTAGTCCCCATGGGTGACAACGCATCTGCATTTTGATTCGTAACCGAGGATAGATGTAGATGTCTATGGGCCACAGCAACTACTTACTATCAGGTGTACTGTGTGTTCGTTTGTCACCCTATTTTATAAAAAAAAGAGAAGTAAAGAACAAGGATCTACAAATACTCTATAATATGTTTTACAGGCCTTGACAAATAATTTCTCTCATAAAATATCATCAAGGTCTCAAAAGTCAAGAACTTGGGGCTAATCTATGAATGCTTCCAACACATTAACAAAGTAGATAAAATATCATCAACCTTTGTGGATAAAAGGTCACAGAGGTATTTCAGAGGCAATGATGCTGTAATGACACAGCCCATCAGCTCGCCATATAGGGCACTAACTTGAACCATAACCTATTTTACCACCTCTATTAAGGTTTGTAAAGTCTCAGGTAAAATGCCGAAGAAGAATCTACATGCTCAGTCGTGCTATCAAACATGCTAAAGGGGCATTACCTAAGATCAGAAGCCACTTTTCCAAGATTACCTCTTTGTTTGAACAAATCTGACATTTAAAAAAAGTGTTCGCTTTCGCTGCATAAACATCTGTTTATCATAGGTGTCACAGACAGCCCTATTTGCAGAGCTAGCATGTGGAGCTAGCTAGTGGAGATGGTCGCTCACATCTTGCTTGGGTGCTCTGCTCTCACTGTGATCTTTGATGATAGTAAATAGTTGTCAGGATTCCTTGAGGAACTAGAATAGCTCAAACAGCATTAATTTCCGCCTCTCAAAGTACGAAAAATTTGTCTTGTCCCCACATGAAGCTATAACGGCATTGTCTCCATATATATACATTATATTTCTGGTAGATAATATACAAGCTTATGTGGCTGAGGAACATGACGTAATTGTGTACAGTAGTGTATGGTAATGACTACAATTCAGAATATTACACTGGAAGCTAACCAACAAAAACAGCGGGATATTTTGCTGGTAGAAAATGTGTAGAAAGAATTATGTCAAAATTTTCATATTGTTAAGACTAGATCACACCCGCCTTCTAGCAGTTTTAACTAAGGAATCTAATCATTACTTACACAATTTACATAACTGTAGAAATTCAACTTGGAGCAGCTGTTGTTTGAGCTTGTTCTTGCAGTAGTAGCATTAACAAGTTTGGGCTTAATGAAAGTTCATGTAAGAAAAGTGGCGGTAGGTTGTCCTGTCACAGTTCTCTGATTGCATATAACATTATATAAATATTATATTATACAACAATAACATAGCATAATTACAGATACGGGACTTTCACAAATTTATTTAAATGCCAACATCATGAAAGGCCATATCTTTAAATTCAAGCCAATATACCATCAAAAGAAGTTGCTCAAGTCCAGACAAAATGAAGATGAAGAATTAACAATGATTTCAGTACATCAAATAAAACAAAGGTACATCTGAACATACAAAAACTGTTATAGATTAATTTTATAAGTTACTACAATAAATTCTAAAATATGGTTAGATAATATTTAAACCCACAAAATCAGCTTGTTCAAGTTTTGATTAATATCATAGAAATACTTTTTTGAATTTAAATGTACAAAGATTAGACTTTTAATCATTTCAATCATTAATTAATTTCACGGGCCGACTTATATATATACTTATAGGTCTATACCTAATGATGAAATACTAAATAATGACTATAAAAGGCTTAGTAAGTATCCCATTAACTATTGCCATATAATGTCCAACACTGTATTGATCAAACAGGGAACTAACTTTGGCAGAGACTTTTGAGAATTTAGATCCAAGATCTTTTGCTATATACATTGAAATTGTAATATCTACTCCTAGCATTTTTAAAAAACTGTAACAAATTAAAAGTACATTTGGTGCCTGTGATTTGTCACATAAAGGTAAACAAACACAGGCACTTCCGTTGTACCAGAGCGGGTACAATCCTAAGTTGCAGATTTATATGATACCAACTCTTTCCATTTGATTGATGTTTATTTTATGACAGGCTGTTTTCCGCAACTCCAAGTCTAAGCGCCTATTTTGCATGTGGACAGGAATAATGTAGTTATTCGAGCCATGATATTTCCCCGAAGAAGTTCAACAGTCCTTTGATGTTGCAAGCAACTTCGGGGAGCGATCCCGGCGTGCCGAGATGTTTAACCCTGTATGAAGCGACTTCTGGACATGTCGGCAACACATGAGCCGCCATTTCTTCCTCTCCCATGCATGCCCTGCACAGGGGGCTATCAGTAACACCTATGGCGAACAAATGTTTGTTAAAAGAGCCATGTCCTGTGATAGCACTAGTTACTATCCTGATCTGTGGCTTGTTCAATGCGGTTCGAATCATTGGCGAGACTCACTGGCACTGCGAAGAGATGTTGCATTCTTTGCATATTTTATCACACTTGACACGGAAAGTGCTCTGAGGAATTGTTCGGACTAATTCCAGGCACCCAATTTCACCATCACAAATTGCGACAAAACTCGCGATAACATCCATACCATCGGGATGACTGGCGGTCCACCACTGCGCAATTTAAAGGAAGTTTGCCTCCTTGTACAATTTCCTTGTGGAATCGACTATCACAAGAGATTTTTTTGGACTCATATGACTTAGGGACTTTTAAGAAAAGAGCTTTTTAAAGAAAAAATTTTTATAGGCGATTGATTTTGTATACCATCAGGTGAGCCGTATGCTAGTTTGCCCCCTCTCCTATATAAAAAATACATACCTCAATATAGCAAATTTACAAAACCTACTGAAATAAAATTATGGAATATTAATACATAAACACTCACACCTGTCATCCACAGAAAAAATCTTTGGCTGCAGACTCAGATTTTACATGATCCCAATACACCGCTCTCACTTATTCTACATCTATATATATTTACACATTCTAGTCAATTAAAGGTACTCTTAATTTGACCCATCTTCAATGTATTACCAATTTGACCTATCAACTTCCATCGAAATCTCCAGATTGCGATACATGCAAGACAATAGAAGATGTACAACACTTACTCACAGAATGTTCCAAAAATCATCATGAAAGGAAACTATTAGTTGCCAAAACTGACATTAAAATAACCTAGGGGAATATCAAAGCATTCTGCCTGTACCATTGTCTAAACTGTGCTGCTCAAATGGTATATAATTTAATTAATATTTTGTGTAAATAATATAAGAAATTGTAGTGTATTATTTAGTGATAAGGTACAATGGGACTGACATGTTAAAAATAATGTAAGTCCCTAAATAAAAAAAAAGAATTAAAAAAAACTTCCATCGAGGGTGACCCCTGCCAACTCTGCCACTCACTTCTACAGCATAAATGTACTTTGTCACTCTTATTAATTATTTCTTTTCAAACCACTCGAGCAATGCATTCATTGCTTAATCCTGCTTAATTTTTAATAAAAGTAAGTATGAGATAAAAAAGTTCTATGGTATTTATATTATCATAACATAAAGATGGATATGATATAAAAGTTCACAGTTAAGATTCAAATTGTATCTAAATATATAATGAAACAAGTAAATATGTCAGTCCAAAACACATATTTTGCCTTAATTAATTAGTAATGTGCTATGTATTAAAAACATGCAAAACCTCTGAATATTTAGTACATAAATAAAATACTACAATCATACAGGGCCATATTAATTAAATATTAACCTGTCCAATGTGAAATCATTACTGTTTTTGTGTAAAGCATAATATCAAAAACAAACTCAAACAAATATTAGGGCAGATAACACAAAGAAACTGTTACTCAAACATTGTTTACTTTACGAACATTACAACTTACCAGTTGAAATTCTCTCCGTCTGTCATACGCCCTTTTTATGGCCCTGTCTAACCACAAGGAGTGTATGTGTGGCGCATAATGCATGAACAGCAGGCTGTCAAGTGACGAACTGCTGTTGAAGTGCAACGCTTGCTGACCAATGTCCAGATTCCTCGGATTTTCCCACGGGATCGCAAGCTTGTCACGCGCGTCCACTAACACTTGAATACCCTTCACTATGTTCTGATAAATCACATGTTGATACTCGCGTACGAGTTCCGGCTCAAACTTCACTCGATGTATTATCCTCATCTGTTTCAGGAATGTTGATTTTCCGCTTTCACCTGCACCAAGTAACAAAAGTTTGACCTGTCGCCGTAAAGTCTGTTTGTCCTTCTCCAATATTCTGTCAATCTCTTTACTTCGGTATCGCTGTTCTATCTCCTCAGGTGAGAGTTTCAAGCGCAGCCAACATGTCAGGGCTTCGGTACAACAGTAACATGACCACAAATCGTTGGCCATTTTGCATGTTTATCGCAAATACTAGAGAAAATCCGAGCAACTAATCTTTCAAGCTACTTAAATAGTTTAATTTTACACATTGTCACATTAACACTTGGAACACGTGAACAAAATAAAATAAAATAAACGATTTAAATCCGGAATTAGTAGTACACACGCAACACACCCCTCCCAAACTCATTGCGAAAAATAAAATCATAAAATGAGATTATTATTTTTATTAAGATCTTTGGCATGGATGCTTGTCCTTAAAGCCAAATAAAATGAGAAACCGTAACTCATAACTACGCACAGATAAGATATTAATGATAACGATTACGTTGAGGTAAAGATTATTATTCATAGACCACGTTTCTTTTACATCTTTGTAGATGTTTACAATCATTATTTTTTCGGTTTCCGAAATATGCGTCACTTTCCGCTTCTTTCGTGGTGACGTAAAGTCTTTATGAGATTTTCATGTCGATGGACCTGATTTCATACTGGTGATAATATACAAAACGTCACAAAACAATAACAAAAACTTTAATACAAAACGTAATAATAAAACTAACAAACCAAACTTAATAAAAATTAAAACAACTACTATAACCGAAAATTTTAAATCTCAAACTATTTACACGCAAGCGCATCCCGAAGCGGAATGAGGAATGAGTTCTGCTCCACCCGCTTTCTCAAATACGCACGGCATGAGACGTATCGCATATCGCGTCGAAACAGGATTATTATCTCTGAATAACCGCTTCCTTCACCCAACCCCGTACCATGAGACACACGCTTAGCGCATAACGATACGTAATCTATAAAGAAATGTACGGAAACAATAACTGTCGTTTGGTTTCGATGCTAACATAATACTTGATGGTCAATGTACTTTTTTCCGCCTGCCCCAGAAACGTACTATAGATGATGCAATAACATGTCAGGTGTGGCGGGGAGCGAGAGGCAGGGTCCGGCGCTAATCCCGCGCGCTTTACGGTAACAAGTTTTGACATAAATTGGTTAGGTCCCGAGGGTATCCTGCCGAATAATGTTCGGCCGAATATTCGGTTCGGTAAAAATTTTACCGAACATTTGGCCGAATATTCTTCTGCTAATTATATTATTCCGAATATTCTATAGTTCTGACTGTCAAAATCATAAACAGAGAATGCTAGTACTATTCTCTGTCTACGGTCAAAATAGTAATAGTTGGGTGACACTACTTAACATGGTTTTTTTTGCATAATTTTTAACTATTTGTCAAACTAAAACTTGTAAAACTCTATAGCTTAAAATGTAAAATAAAGTGAGTTTATTGCGTTTAGAGTTAACGGTAGTAAGCGATATTACAAAATTAACAACGTAACTGTCAATTTGTACAGACAGTACGATTTTTCAACATTTTGCTACGATAAACAGTATGCAGGTATTTACTAGGACATTTAATACCTACTTCATAATATAACTCAGAACTCAGATTGAAAGTTACCCGTTGTCCTAAAACTATTACCTAAAAGTATTTTTTAATTTTAAACACCTACTTAAAATTCGAATATTTTCATTGTCAAAGATCTAATCACACGAAGGAGTCAAAGAATATTAAACTCAGACAGATTGTCACTCCTGTGTTATAGTTTAAACAAAGGTTTAGAGTGTTTTTTTGATACATAAAAGTGGCTCCTTATTGTGTATTAAGTTAAATGTCTACACAGAACTTTCTGTCTATCTGTTAACTATTATTTAGTAAAAACTATGTTACAAGCGTGTTGATGTTGTTATAAATATTAAGCTTGTTTATACGCTTAGGCGGCTTCAAATAATTTCTGTTGGTTTGGGCTCTAATCAAAATCTCCCAAGGATTATCATAATTTGGCAAATCAGATTAAGCTGTAAGGGTGTAAAATTTAAGACCTTTGCTGGCCTTATTTGGCGAACCGTAATTGTAACAACAACAATGTCAATGTTGCCGGAAGATTACATTTCTTACATAATATTAATTATCGTTTTAAGAACCGATGACGTAATGTGTATGTAAAAAGTATTTTTTTAAATTATATTTACTTGTCATCAAAGTTCGTTTTCTACAATTCAAGTATTAACTAAACTTCCACTTTTATGTTTTATACATTTATCCATGGGCCTTGAAAAAACACCGTAACTATGTGTGAGTAACTACGCGAGCACGGTTTGGAGCGTAATTTGGCAGGTGGTAGACTTACTATGGTGTGCATGTGTGCGTGCCGGCTTGTTTGTATTAGCGAACTGACTTACTATGGGTGCGTCAGTAATTGTTTTAAGAGACTGTTTTAAAATATAACATCGTACCATTTCATAGTATTCGCTGCTTAAATATTTTTGTTGCATCTTTGCTAACGAAGTGATAAGTAAAAATACCGTCACTGCCAGCTGTCAGCCAAACGGACAACCGTAGGCACCTAGCGGCGTAATGGTTAATGGAAGAGAAAAGCGCTGGAAGACGCGTGACAAGGTAAAAAAATTTGTAAACGTGCGACTTTTACAAATGTGTGCGTGCGTAGTGAAATAGTAGGCGTATATTTATGAATGTCAATAAGTTAAAATAATGCATTTCCACGCATTCTGAGTTTAAAAGATGAAAATAACACAATACTTGATTTTTTTATTAACTATTTTCGACCATTCGCCTATATGACTTGTTCCACTTCCTTTTCAAATGAGGGCATAGTTTGTAAAATAACCTTAACCTTTTTAATCCTAACGTTACATTTATACACTTTATTTATTTTATAAATCGTTAGCTTACCTTATAACTTCTTTTGTTTCAATCGTTTAATTAAAACATAAGCAAACTATCTAATGCTTTTTAATTTTAGTTTTACCCTGAAATAACTGATAACGTGACTATGGGTATTGTAAAGTACCTGAAACGAAAGAAATTGATTTTTTTTCCTTTCGGTACTATGCTTCAGTCTCTTACTTCACATTAAACTTCAAATAATGGCGAACGTTACAGATTCGAGTCTCTTTTGCTGTTAATTTATGTCCCACTCTTGAGAAGTTCTAAAATTATTTTTACTTAGGTGTACATAATTAAGACCACGGTATAATACATATTGTATTTAAACTGAATATAAAATTATTTTATTGTTGATAGTTCTTTGAAGGCGGCTCTTACCTTTTATTAAAAAATATTTTTTTAAACCTCTTAAGTCGACTAAGGAATATCACAATCTCCGTACCGTCTAAATTGTTACATTAAAAACTTCATTCCCTAGGAACTTTTTTCTAAATTTATATGGGACTGCTTTTTTTAATGTATAACTGATTTAATAAGAAGGAAAGTATCAAAATTTGTCCACAATCGATACAGTTTAATAATCAACCTTCTCTTTTTTGAATTTGGTTAAATAAGATATAAAATGTCATCACCTTTTCAGGCATGACCAGGTACCTTGCCTTGGCCTAAAGGTCTAGATACCAGGCCATAAACTCCAAAAAAAAAAAGACAACGTACCTTTTTTTTTTTGCGCCCGAAGCAATTAAAGGGCTACCCTATACGTAGGGAGGCGGAAAATGCATTACGCATACCACGATAGCCGGTCTATCGTGGTTATGAGGGGATCACTGTCCTACCGGGGACCCTAAGTGATACCCTCTAAAAACCGCTTTTGGGAACAGGCAGCCGGCTGATTTAAGCTGTATTGTGCCTTATCATGAGCGACCCTCTTTTGGGAAAAGAGGGCGCAGGCGGCTAAGAGCCGCTGAGGGAGTGCCTACGAAGGCAAATTAATGTTAGTTAGAACGTACCTTTCAGACTTTCGGTCATATAGCGCTGGCAAGTGGCAACTGGTGGCAACACAGCTTAAAACATAGATTACTGACTATATACTTAAAACTTCAAAATTTCAAATTGAGTGAAGTGAAGTGAGTGGAAGCGAGCATAAATTCCGCGCATATTGTGTGCACGTGTAGTAAATGTTAAATTATTTTAATTCAGCGTACTTTACGTTTTATTAACTTATTTTTCTTACAATAAGTTCTGTTGAAATTTCTAAAAGGTTTGTGGACTGAAATTTATAGATTACGATGTGATTATTTTGAAGCTGAGCGATGTCCAAAGAAGGTTATGGTGGTGAAAAGAAAGAAGGTGATAGCAAAGTTGTTCTTGAGAGATTGCAATCATTTTTGAAAGATAAAAGAAGCGCAGAATCTGCGGAATCTAGTCTAAGTTACGTCAAGCCTAGTACTAGTTTCGAACAAAACCCACAGACGGGTCCAGTACTTGACGATAGCAGTGCCGTATTGAGAGAAGTTTTAAATCATAAAAAAACCGAGCTGCTACGCCAGCCGGAAATAATTGCTTATTTAAAGTCTGTGTCCTCGGATCTTAAGAAATAATGGCTATAGTAACTCAGAAAAGTGTCGCATCGTTGATGCGAAAAACATTAGATCGCCAAAATGCCCACGCTCGTATAAAGTTGAGGTTCAAAAAGAGCCAAATTGAGCAAATACTTTTAAGTTACATTAGCAATGGTAACAGTGGACCATACAACGAACTTGTTAAAGTTTTGGAAGAGTATCCATTGAACAATGACAATTACAAGATATTGATGGAAGATTGTATATCATGTGTAGTGCTTTTGGGAAGAGAGTTAAAACAATTTGTAGAAGTGTTGTGCAATGTCGAGTGGGCTTCTAGAGATGAAGAATTTGTTGAAATGTATAGTAGATTTCTACTTAACCTTGTGACTGCACATACTTATCATTGCCCAAAAGTTATGGCAAACTTGGTTAGACTTTTTAAAGGTAACATAAATTAATATAATGCACTTGAAATCTGATATAATGATATCACTTAACACTTAGGGAGTTGCTTCCTTATATGTAGCACAAGTATTCGCTACTGGGTCCACTGGACCAATATATCATAAGCTTATTCCAAAACTGCTTTATAAACGTAAATGCTTACTTTCTAATGAGGATTCAATATGTGTAAAGAAAAATATAATTGAAACAAAAATACTAATATTTATTTTTTT